CATGGACTTTTGAACCTAAATTCCAGCAAAAATTGATTTTTACCGATTCAGATATTTTTTTCAGAACGGAAGGATCATGGCGTGACGGTGATGCTGGTTGCAATCACTACAGAATTTTTGATATTCAATTTATTAGCCTTTGCTAATAATGTCCTGGAGCTGACTGGGGCGTATGGACACTCACAGCTGGAGACATTACTCGTTGAGGTTAGTTTCACAGTTTTTCCTGGGAAATAAAAAAAAATCTGGTAGCAAATTTGTGCCAAGCCGTGCTAGCGCCGTGCAGGGACGTATCGATTAGTATGTATGCGTCAAACGGGCTTCTGTTCTTAAGAATGCAAAAATTATGTAGTTCTAATGAGATTCTACTTACAGGTTGCCGCTCTGCTAGTCAACATCAATGGTGCCTCCACTATCATTATCTACCTCATATTTGGAAGCAAATATCGAGCAATTTTCATGCAGGTAGGATTACAGTAGATTACGGTAGTGGGCATTCGTACTCAGTCACACTTATTGCAGCTTCTCGAAGACCTTGGGATCCACAACTGCTTAAAAAGGAAAAAATCGCTCTATACAAGTCAAAGACATTACGAAACCACACAATTATTGGATTCAAGAAATGACCATAGCACGTGGAAGGTAAGGGAACAAAAATCAATATCATTTGAGGGGGAGGGGTTTGCTGAGAAATATTTCCAAACTTTCTTGTTAAGAGTCCAAAAAAACTCTATAAAATTTGCTGGATAAAGGCGTTGCAAAACAAGTAGAAACCAAAAAAGTAACAAGTTTCTGACATGTTTTGCGAGCCTGTGAATGGGCTGGGCAACAAATTTTGGTCAACCTGTTCCGCGCCACGCCCACTCGCGAAGTATACCATAAGAATCTAATATTTTTGCGATACTAAACTAATTTCTCTAATTTCAGAAATCATGTGCCTATAGCGATATGTCAATGAAACCCAAACAAAGTCAGACGTGACAAGGACCGCCCACCCGGCTCCCACCCCGCCCCTTTCCGTCGCTCCGGCATCCTACTATGCCTTGATTGGATGATCCCATTCATGCTATGAAATTTTCATGTATATCTGATCTCCGCCAAATAATTCTACCGATCTCTTATCGATTTTCTCAAGTGCATATCCGATAATCTAGTCAATTTTTAATGCATGACACTCGGTTCAATTTTTATACGGGTTGTATATTTTAACAAAATTATTGCATTGTATTATAAATGTGTAAAGTCTATACATAAACATGAGTCCCATGTGTTTTGTCCAGAAATTACGAGATCGAATATTCGAGATTTTTTACATACGCCAAAATTGATATAGACGATATCCTGACCACATGCTTGATGTAAGAAGCAGAACCATTACAGTAATGGTGGTCCTGGAACGATTACCATAGGTTCATCGATGAAAATAAGACGTGTCTTAACCTGAAACTGAGCTGAGGAGCAGTTTTTACAAGTCTATCCTTTTCCACCCGTGGCGCGGTTAATCTTTGTTCAAAAGTTTGCCCAGTGTCACCAATAATTTTGTATTTGGCAAGTTCGGGGTATTTGTCGGGTGAAGAGAAATATTGACAGATGTGAGCGTACCTGGAAGTAAAGATCAAATTACATATTTGGAAGATGTGTTGATTTTGCCGTTAGTGTAGGTATACGCTAAAACTTTTAGCGCGCCCTTTATGTATCACTCTCAGTTAGGCAAAAGAGATTCAAAAAGAAAAAATTCAATCATTTTGGTTTTGAAGTCTAGTCAACTTCATGGTCTTTCTGCAGACCCACTTCTGTAAGCTCATATAGTGCCGCTAACCGTTTAATCATTCCAAAACTGAGAAAGTTGAAGTGAATCCATATCGACGATTCCAACTTACGTTGTGGCGCTATTCGTTGCAATTTCAATGACTCGCTTTCCTTTCGCTAAGCGAATGTCGAGTTGATGCTTGTATGAATGCACCAGAAAGTGTTCGCAAACATTTTCGAAGTCCTCGGATTCAATCTAAAAATTTACGAATCAGAAATTGCAGCAGCACAAAAAATTGCTTGGTCCTAGAGAAGTCACCTTTGCTGGTCCTATGAGCCAGTTCCAAATCAAAATTGGGGCTTTGATAGCCTGAGACAAGCCTAATCCATCGCAAGATTGCCTACTCCTTACCACACGAATTATATCCGGGCGATATCCAGGAGGATCCTCACCTTCCTAAATATGAAGGCATCAACAACTTCACAGAATGGTCTTTACAATGAGATCCAAATAACCATGATGACTTACCAGATAAGAACAACCGACATCTATCATTGGAACATGAATTCTATTTACAATGTCTTGACGACAAGCTAGAATAAGTCTTCTCACTGTCCAAGGATCCTCGAGCTTCTGCGCGCATCTTGAATATTTGACCAATAAGTTATGCAGATAGGCAGTGCAAGTGATTGTTACCTTTTTGAAACAAATATGTGGGCCAACTTCAAAAAGACTTTTCCGGTGATAAAAGCATCGAATGCGGCATTGTGGTAGCTCTCTGGAATCTAGTGAGCAATATCGAAGCGCATATATGTACGCTTCTCACTTCATAGTTTTTTC